CTGCGGCCTGGCCCTGCTCTCCTCCGCCTCCAGCTGCCTCCTGGCCCTCGGCCTCACAGTGACCTGGCGACTGGAGGCCCAGCTCCTCGTGCTGTCACTCGGCGATGCTGGAACAGGACACTCCCACCATCCCCAGGAGACGCCCGTCTACCACCTCCCCCACCTGCTCCTCCCCCGCCTGCCAGTTCCCGGCGTCCTCCGCTGGCCAGTCGGAAACACTGCTGCCACGAGGACGTGTTCACGGGCGTCTGCCCCCTCGGAGCCCGGGAGCCGGCCGTCCGTGCTCTACAACAGCGTTCACGCTCCGGGGCCCTGACGTGAACCCCGAGAGTAGCTTCTGCCTCAGACGCCTGGGTCTCAGCGGGACTGAGGGAGCCTCGCTGCCCGCCCAGGGCCCTCCCTCCCAGGGCAACACTACGGCCCTGCCAGGACGCCCCTCCGCCCGCCTGTGCATGACGGGTCCTCCCCAGCCGTCCGTGTACACGCACACAGGTGCACGCATGTGCGCACACGTGCACACCGAAGCCAGGCCGATGGCAGTCTGATCCTCTTTTTTTTTTCTAGAAATGGGAGAAACGGGTTTTTTAGAGCCCACCTCTCCCGACTATTTAATACTCCTCACGCGGCCCAGGGCTGCCCCTCAGGCACCGCGACGGCGAGCGGCCCTCAGATGACGCGTGTATTTTTCTAGGAAGTAAAGGAATCTTCACAGATGAGTGTCCTCGCCTCTGCCTCTTCCTGGAGAAGGAGACAAGCAGGGAAGGGCCGGCCGGGCTGCCGGCAGCTTGGGGGAAGCTTGGTCTGTCGTGGGGTCCAGGGAGAGGAGGCGACGCTGGGGGGGCAGGGCTCCCCCCATGTGCCCCCTCGGGGCCTGTTTGTGACAGCTGCGCAGCACCCTGCAGGCCGGTGGCCTCGGACAGGAGGTGGAAGGAGAGAGTGAGTCTGCAGCTCAAGGAAGGGCCTGGCTGGGCATCCAGGGCAGCACCTGCTACCCAGTGTCCCTGGTCCCAGCGGAGGGGCGGCTGCCTGCTGCTGGCGGGCGTTCAGGCCGCCCTGCCTCCTGCTCTCCTCCCTTGAAGCTGGGGAAGCGCTGGCCTTGGGAGGTGACGGCCACGGGCCAGGGCTGAGGGCTGTGCGTGGCCAGAGGGACCCCGATGGCTGAGCGGCCTCGGGCTCGGTCCTGAAGGAACGGGCCTTGTAATGGGCCTGCCCCACAGACACCGGCGTCGGACCCCGGGGCTGTGTCCAGGCGTCTGCACATCCTTCCCGCGTGGCCTTCGCGGCAGGTGCCCGGCTCCCTCCATTCCCACCACTGCAGGTCCGGGGCCCAGGAGCTGCCGCCCGGTGACCCAGCTCCTGTCCGATGAGACCCCCTCCGCCGGAAAGGGGGGGCTGGCTGGTCAGGAGTCAGTTCAAGAGAAGGGGGGTCTCGAGCCCGCAGGCCTGTCCTGGCAGAGGCTCTGTGGACAGAAGTGGGGCGGGCGGAGAAAGAGGGGACACCAGCCCTGTCC